CTCTCTCTCTCTCTCTCTCTCTCTCTCTCTCTCTCTCTCTCTCTCTCAACACACACACACACACACAGGCCTAGGGGATCAAAAACTATATAGTTTAATATAGGTCCACTTTTAAAATTTCTCACAACTATCAAATAAAAGCCTAACGTGCTGTTCTGTAGATGAACTCCGGCCTGACGTCTCGCCGTCTCATCTTGCATTGCAATCCCTAAACAGTGCATCACCACATGCATTACTGGCTCCAAAGCATGTGGCAAATCTTGAAAGCCGTTAAGAGCGAAGTCCCACTCAACAACTTTGGGAATGGCATCGATACTCCAAGGCACATAACTAGAATGTAGGCAACCTCCAAGAGAAGTATACAGGAAGCTCTATTTTAAAAATGTGACATAAAAACAGAAGTGCAGAAATACTTAGTGTTTTACCTAGAATAGCCACACAGCCTTCTTTCAAGCATAAAAGTCATTTGATCAGACTCCAAACCGACCTGCACTGTTACCTGTAACTTTCAGAGAACTTCAAGACTTCATGAGATTAATAAAGGAGCAAAGGGGAACCAGACACGATGCCATTTAAAAATGACTCACCAGTTAACCAATCACAGAAAGCACTCAAGAGTTGGGAGATATATACATATCTATGGTTTGTTGTTGCTGCTGTTATACGTGAACCTGATTTATACTGGCCTATACTGTCACTTTGCATGACCGGTAAGGTGCAGAGATTTCCAAGAAGAACTAACACGGAATTCAGACATGCTGGCCACTTTCCAGGGGACAAGCGGTGGGCAGGTGGGTGTGGCGGCCACAATTGGTCATGATTGGTTGTGCTGGCCTTGGTCAGGTGCCCCAGTTCTCCCTGCAGACGCTCACATGAGCTCCAGGTCAGGATCCTGTGTGCTTGTGACAAGTCTGATGGCCAGACTTCCACAAGGTTATTTGGCCATGCATAGCTTGAGGCTTTGCATATTCTAAAATTGACTTTTTCTTTGTAATAGACTAAAAAACATGCTATGTTTTAATAAGCTGAGCATATTTAAATGTTAACAAAATAGTACCCTTAGGGTAGGGCACTTTGGCATCTGCTATAGTTAAAAGTGACGTAAGTATAAAACCAAATATGCATAGCTCATAAAACAATGAAGTTCCAGATGTTAAGTGATAGGCTATTTCTCTACCACTGAGATGAGCCAGTTCAAGGCAGATTAGATTACATTAAAGGCAGATTTACTGGGGAGTTGCTCTCAGATGAGTTCACTGGTTCCAAAGATTGAGGCCAGGAGAGTTGCCATAGGGAGCCGGGCAGAAAGAGAAAAAGGGAATGTACTCAGAGAGAGAAGAGGGAGAGGGAGAGGAAGAAAAGGAGGTGGAGAGAGGGGGAAGGGAAAGAGAGGACAAAAAACATCTGGATTGTATAGGGAAGAGCCTCTGGGGGAAGGGCAGCCTAGTCCCAGGACTGGAATGCTCAGGGTTGGGGGCAGGGTATGTCAGGTAGGGACTGAGGGATGCTGGGAGAACCTGGAGGGCAGGTCTGTTTTGATATGTAAAACATGCACCTCAGTCCCTTGTGTGTGTGGGGGGGGGGGGAGGGAGGATTCCAAAAAAACAGTAAGGAAACACTGTCCTTTTGGCTGTCTAGCTGTCATAGTTTTGATTGACTGCTTGCTATTTGTGCATTGGGCAATTTTCATCCTCTCATCCTATTTTGGTGGTTTCAGGAGGAAAAGATAATGTGCTAATTTTTAATATTTTAGGTGTAAGCTAAAAAGGGAAGCAGACTTCTTTGTACATGCAGATTTGGGGTCAGACGCTATTCTATGTTTTCTTGCTAAAACTAAAATATGATGACATATCTAGATAAGGCTGAGAGAGCATTCATTGTCCTGGGATGGACCTGACAACTAGACAGTACAGCGACTATGAGAACAATACAGCTAACACAAATCTAAAAACACAAGCTCATAAGTGTAAAGGCATTTCAGGCTGGAAAGAAGACTTCGTAATGACTAAGAGCACCGACTGCTCTTCCGGAGAACCATGTAGTGGTTCACACTATCTGAAACTGGAATTTCAGGGCGTCTGAGGCCTGCTTCTGGCCTCCAACAGAACCCAGAATATGGAGCACTTGCATACCTGCAGGCAAAACCCCAAACACACTTAAAAAAATGTCTTAGGTTCATTTTAAATAAGTCTAAATAAGAAAAAAAATTAAGATGAAGAGCCTTTCTGCGATTACCTACCCGTATCCCAGGATTAAATCTCAGTAGTGAGGGACAAAGGGACAAAGTGGAGAATGGCAGCTAAGAGTCTGCTCCTGAGAACGGAGCTCTTTTCTGGGTAGCCAATGGGATCCACACTCCACGGCCTGTGATCTCACCTTAACCAGCTGCTACACAAAGCTATGTTGAAGAGTCCCAGATAATGTAACTCAGACAGAAGACAGTTTCTTCTGGCAAAGCCGGGTGTTGTGACCAAAAGATGTCAGAGATACAAATGTATAGTATACATAGCCAGTTTCCTAAACCCCCCACCCCACCCCATCGTGGTTGTGCTTTCCCGGAGAGGGCCAAGTGCAGCGGACTATGGGATTGCTTCAGACTGTGAAGTGATGGTGCAAAATTATCTGGACGCACCAAAATTATCTTAGGGATTTTGTTTTCTGTGAGTTAACATTTGTTTCACACAATCTCCACTTCCTAAAACAATAAACAGCCAACAATGAAAGCAAATATATAAACATAAGCACACTGATATGTAAGGAAGGATATCTACCCAATTTTGTCTGAATAAAGTTAAGAGGAATAAAAGTCAATTTTCAAGAAGAACAAAGTTCCCCCAAAGCCTCTGTGTTGCAATGGTACTGTTAGCCAAGGTTGTGTGGTAGGGAAAGGAGGCAGACCATCCCAGATAGAGAGGATGCAGCCTTTCCTATGAGACAGTTCATACGAACTTAAAAGGATGTCTCACCAGCGACACTATTCCTAGCTCATGTTCATTTATAAGCAGATTTCTTCTCTTTTCTAAAAAGACATAAACAAAAAAATAAAACAAAAATAAAAATTTAAGTCTACATAGGAGGCCTAGTTAATAACATGATTACTCAAAGCCACAAAAACTTTCTACTGGGATGTCACTGTAGAAACATTAGATTCTACCGCAAAACCCAAGCTTGGCGCCCCCTGCTGACTTTATGGTTACAGTACCAGTTCTGAAAAAAAAAGAGCTTTTCTGACTTGATTATTCTAGATTTTTTAATTTAGCATACAAAGTAACGGATTTCATTATAGAGTTTTACTACAATTGTGCCGTTATAGTCCCCACTGCTCTACGCCATCTTCCCTGGCCCCTTGCCTCTTGTTGGTCTCAATAACCTCGCAAACTGTGTCCTCTTCTGCTTTCTCGGTCTCATATGCTCTATTATCGTCTCTTCTTCTCCCTCGCCTCTTCTTTAAAGTCTCTTCCTCCCTTCTAATGAACCCTCTTCTAGATTAATGATACACGCACGTACATGAGCACACACACGCACGCACGCACGCACTCACTCACGAGTGTATATGCAGATTTAAAGCAAGGTTCTGCATATGAAACAAAACATGGTGTTTGTCTTTCTGAGTCTGGCTTATTTTGTTTAACATAGTGATTTCCAGTTCTGTCCATTTTTTGCAAGTGCCATGAGGGTTTTTTTAATTTATGAAAAAAAATATATACCTATATATGTATGTATGTGTATATGTGACAAAAATGTGACAATTGAAATTTTTGCAGAAAATAAAGCAAAGCACACTAGGTAGACTACCCACTGAAGACTTCTTAG